ATATCGAAGGTTCATTATAACGAGAGTGGCTTGTATATAAAAAATGATATATATCAGATATTCAAAAAGGGTCATTAGTACGTATACAGAGGGCCAATTTTGTATTCACACATAATTCAATTCTAAATAATTTTAATTAATAGTATGCGTGAGATGCTAATGTCATCCTCGCGCGATTAAATCACATAACATTATATCTCGTGCAAGATAAATTTTTAATACGTATAATCCAGTATAAAGTCTTTTTCACATTGCATGATATCATATACAAAATACAGTGAACCCTTTTTAAGTACAAAATATTGAGGACCACTTCGCTTAGAGAATGTTGCACTTAGAAAATTTCTCCGGTAGGATGATGCAATTTAATATCGATATCGATATCGATATGCTTATACTCGACAATCACGTGAAATGTTGGCCGATAAAACTTTATACAAAAAATTAGACTCTATATACAATGCTATCGGTTAGTTTTTTTTTAAAAAAATTTCATCAATAGAAAGTTATAACGATTGGAAAAAAAATCAATTTTTCAAATCCGTATAACTCTTCACAGTTAAAAAGACTAGCCGATAACATTTCACGTGATTGTCGAGTATAAGCTTCCGGCACCATATAACAAATTTTATCGTTATTTTTCTTTTTCATAGTGAAATGTGGGTCGTATAACAATTTATTATTGGCCAATAAAATATCTTGCACTTATACGTAGTACTTATAGTGCACTTAAGGAGTTTTAAACTTGGTGAGTGTATGCTATATTTGTCTTGTGCCCTAATCCGGTGTCGAGTGATATCATGAGTATAGGTACATCACTAGTTTAGAAGTTAAATTTCACTTACAGTTTTTGGTACGCTTCTGCAATTAAAAACGAATTTATTAAACTTTATTAGCGTATAAGCTAAAAGATCCTACAATAATAGTCAAACGTGTAACTTTAAAGCTATCGCTATGCAGTCTCTCGTTGTAGTCTCATAATATACGTAATATGGAACATAGTTAATAAAAATTAACTGCCTCGTTATTTTAAAACAAAATACAAAAATCTGATGTGACTATAGCGAAAGACACATGTTCAATAGTCACATCTAGTGACTATTGCAAGGGTCACTTAATCTACGAAAATCAGCCAATAGCCGTTGACGATGCTAAAAACGGATATATTAGTGATTTACAAAAAAAATTTTTTTGTCAGTCTTTTAGCGTTTAACTTTAACACGAAGATTCCACGCGTTTGAATCAAATTTATATAAATAAAAAATAAAGTTAATAGTATGCTAGTACTTTTTGAGACTGCAGCAGGTTATGCTTTATTTCAAGTATTAAATGAAGGAAAATTAGAAACTCCAGAAGAACTTTGGCAAGCATTCGAAACTCCAGAAAATGCAGCAAATACGTAAATATATTTACTCTTCATTTTAAGTATAATAAATTAAATATTAATATATTTTATATTTATAGAATCAAGCTAAAAGCCTTCAAAAAATTTGAGAATATGGCGTCTGCTGTATCTTCAATA